CCTCTTCACCCTCTATATGCTCCCCCTCGGTGACATCATCCGCAAACATGGGGTTAACTTCCACATGTATGCGGATGACACCCAACTCTACCTTTCCTCCTCTACTCTCAACTCCACGACCACCGATGTCCTGACAGCCTGCCTGTCCGACATCGAGTCCTGGACGAGAGACAACTTTCTTCAGCTCAACGTGCGAAAAACCGAGGCCCTCCTGATTGGCTCACGTCAGCGCCTCCGCACCTCAGGCGCTGACACCATCAGCATCCAAGGCTGCACTCTCCACCTCTCAAAGCCAGTCAGGAACCTCGGCGTTTTGTTCGACCCTGAGCTGTCCTTTCTCCCTCACATCCGCACCACAACTGGCACCGCCTTCCATCACCTCCGGAATATCGCCAGACTACGGCACTACCTCACCCCTCACGCTGCTGAAACCCTGGTTCACGCCTTTGTCACCTCAAGGCTGGACTATGGGAACTCTCTCCTCGCCGGCCTTCCCGCCACCTCCCTCCACAAGCTGCAGGTCATTCAGAACTCTGCAGCTCGTGTACTGTCCCGCACCAGGCTTCGGGACCACATCACTCCTACCCTCGCTCGCCTCCACTGGCTCCCCATCCCCCAGAGGATTGATTTCAAGATCCTCATCCTCACCTACAAGGCCATTCACGGCCTTGCTCCCTCCTACCTCTCCAACCTACTATCCCCCTACCTGCCCGTACCCTCCGTTCCTCTGGCTCCGGTCTGCTCCACGTCCCCCGCCCCAACCGCCCTACATCGGTGGTCGGGCCTTCAGCCTCTCAGCCCCCAGGCTCTGGAACTCCATCCCCCAGTGCCTTCGCCTTGCTTCCTCCCTTTCCTCCTTCAAGGCCGGTCTCAAGCCTTCAGCTACCCTCTCGACTCTCTTCCCCCTCCTCGCTCACTCCCTTCCCTCCCCTCACCCTGACCATTTCCCCCTCCTCTCTCCCTCCCTTCCCTCCCCTCACCCTGACCATTTCCCCCCTGCTCGGGTCATGACCCAACTGTGCAGCGCCTTGGGACGTCCTCCTGACGTGAAAGGCGCTCTATAAATGGAATCTTGTTGTTGTTGTTGTTCTCTAAACTCTCATTCACTCTTTTCCCGTTTTCTCCTCTTATTGATACGGAACCTCGGCATCCTGTTCGACCTACAACTGTCCATCATCTCCCACATCTGTGCCATGACCCGCTCTGCCATTCCCCGCCTCCGCAACATTTCCCTGCTCTGCCATTGTCCTCTCACCACAGGCCGCTGAGATCCTCATCCATGTGTTCATCATATCCAGGCTTGACTACACAAAACTGTCTGCTTGTCGGCCTCCTCAACTCCTCCTTCCACATCATCCAGAACTCTGCAGACCGTGGCCTCTCCCGCATTATCACCCCCATCATCGCCAGATTCCAGTGGCTCCCCATCACCCAGAGGATACAGTTCAAGATCCTGGTCCTCACCTTCAAAGCCCTCCATGGCCTTGCTCCTCCCTACTTCTGAGACCTCCAAACCCCCTACCATCCTGTCCACCCCTCCGCTCAATGGGCTCCAGCCTTCTTTACGTCCCCCACGTTGCCCGCCCCACCATTGTCGGGTGGGCCTTCTGCCTCTCTGCCCCCACGCTCTGAACTCCATGCCACAGACCCTCCACCTCGCCCCCTCCCTTGCTTCCTTCAAGACCAGTCTCAAAACCCTCTTCTTCGACTGTGCCTTTGATCACCCCCCTACCTCTACCCTCCCCACCCTCCTCCCCTCCTGATCCCAACCACCAGCTTGGGTGTGGATCCTTGACTGTCCAGTGTCTTGGGACGTCTTCCTGACGTGAAAGGCGCAATACAAATGTAATTTGTTGTTGTTTCTTTTCCTCTCCTAGCTCTTTCTTAATGTCATGGACGTTCTTTGTGCAGCGCCATCCTATTTGCATATAACGTAGCTCAATTGGGCTTTGAACTTCTATTGAACTGATAGAAAATACAGTTACTTCTCTCCCCAAAATCTGGTAGTTGATGCAGAACAGGATGCAAACACGCTTTTGGTTTTGAGAGCAGCTAACTGAACAAAATACTATAGCTCTGTGCGTCTCCTACAAGTCCTATTTCAGGAGTTGTGTTTTTCAAACTGCAGTTTGAATTTTTAGTTCAAAACTGTATTTTGAGAAGAAAAACATATTTTTTTCAAACTGTGGTTTTGTACTGAGAACAGTATTTGCTTCATTTAGACAGATATTATGAACAAAAGGAACAAGCAATGCGCTAAAAACAGAAGCAGCAGAAGTCTTTTGAGTTTGCAAAATGTTTCCACTGACCTTATGCTTGGTCACCTGAGTAAGACATAAAACTCTGCATCTACTTAGACTTGACGTGCTCAGCAGGAGTGGTGCTGATTCTGGTTAAAGAAAATCTTAATGCTAGACTGCCCCAGACAGCTTGAACAGCTTTCAGGTGCTGCTGTTGAGCACTGTATGATAGGTGCCTCTACTCTGCCACGTGGCATATTCCCCAAGTCAAAGTGCTTTAAGGGTTTACCTTGCAATCATATTGTAGTTGGAAAATCGCACACCTTTCTCACTGTTCTCCCACAGACCGAAACTTGATGAAGTACTTTTAAAACCTTTCCGATGTCTGAAAACCTTACCCTGTGAAACCATGGTGTTGAACGTTGAAAGGTGGAACATTCTTTGATTTGGTCTTGGTTTGGAAGCTGCTTTTCCACAGTTGGTACAAAGATGGCTTCGTAATTTATGATTTTTCCACGATTCTGTGTGGATCTTAAATAATAATTCATGAATAATGTTAATTATTATAATAATAATAATTTGGTAGTCAATCCACGAGTGTTGTGGGACACTGCTGTGCGCAATTGGCTGCTGCGTTTCGCCCACAAATATACAGTCACTACATTCACAGTATATTCTGTGAAACGCTTTGAGATGCTGCAAAGCATGCTAACACGCTATATCAAATGCAAGGATTATTATTATAAATTATATTATCTGTATATCTGTAGACAAGTGTAGCAGCCAATTTGTGGGGCTTCAACCCACAACCTTCTGACTCAGAGCAGAGTGCTACCAACTGACCTAGGTTGACACGCTAATATGTCTCTAGATTCGCATTCCTCCTCTTGTTGTTATTTACACGATAGTATGAGCAGTGGCCTGAGAGCAGTTCCCCATGCACAAGCTCACATGGGACTGGGGTAACATGCCAGGATATGTCATAGTGAGTAACAAGTTCTGAAAGTAGACTGGGAACAAATGTTTCATACCATGTTGTTGGGTTCGAAGGGCAGTTCTAGCCAAGCTCCACTGGCTCCCTATCACTGAACGGGTCGACTTCAAGATCCTCACACTCATTTTCAAATCCCTTCCCACCCTGGCACATCCCTACTTCTCCGCCTGCTTATCCCCCAACCAACAGCCTGCTGCCTCCGCTCGACTGACTCTGGCCTTCTGCATATCCCTCTTGCCCTCCGATCCACCATTGGTGACCATGCTTTCAGCCACTGCGCCCCGAAACTCTGGAACACTCTTCCTCTATCCCTCTGTCTTGCCCCTTGCTTCCTCATTTTCAGGTCACGCCTGAAGACCTACCTATTCGACAGTGCCTACGGTCAATCAACCCTTACCTGGCTCGGCATCGTTCTCCGCCACTGTCAAGCTCTCTGGGACGCTACCCTGCGTGAGGGGCGCTATATCAATGCAAGTTGTTGTTGTGTGGCCTGTAGAGGAATTAATCTCGCTGTTTAACCTGGGACAAAGATGTGGGCAGGAACACCAGCTTATTCAATTTCACCACAATGTAAAATCAGGAAACAGTCGCTTGTATTCTATGCTTTATACTCATTTAATTACTAAGCCAAAACAACAAAGACCTTTGCATTGGTTCAATAAACAGGTTACAATAGGCAATAAGCAATTCGTGCTCACATACACGTGACAATATCAAAGTTCACAGGCAACAGACAAAATTCTCTGATTGAAAAGTGCAACCACAATTTTTCTGTAGAATCTGCTATAAACAGCGCCCTCTGCTATAAATCACTAAAAAAATGTAGTTTGTTGCCCTGGGTCTCACCGCTGTTTACCTGCTGTTACTGTGCGCGAAGCGGCGCAAGCGGGAAATGGCTTCTCCGCTCCACTCAGAGGCCTTGCTGTTGAGATTGTCTGTGTATCTCTCCACCCTCTATGTGTTTGTGAGTCTCCATGTGAGTGTATTTGTTTCTCTCTGTGTGTGAGTGTCTATGTGAGTGTGTCTCTCTCTGTTTGTGAGTATCTCTCTTAGTGTGTCTCTCTCCTCTGTATGTGTGAGTATGTCTGTGTGTCTCCTATATATATTATATATATGTGTGTGTGTTTGAGTGTCTCTGTGTGAGTGTGTGTTTGTGTCTCTCTTCTGCTTGTGTGTGTCTCTGTGTCATTGTGTGAGTGTGTGTGTGTCTCTGTGTGTGAGTGTGTGTCTCTCTGTGTTTGTGTGTGAGTGTGTGTCTCTCTCTGTCTGTGTGTGTGTCTGTCTCTGTCTGTGTGTGAGTGTCTCTCTCTGTGTGTGAGTGTGTGTGCCTCTCCGTCTCTCTGTGTGTGTTTGTGTGTGAATGTGTGTGTCTCTCTCTGTGTCTGTTTGTGAGTCTCTCTCTGTGTCTGTGTGAGTGCTCAAACACAACAGCCAATTGAGCACATCAGTGTCCCACAAACAGTCATGGATTGAATGACCAAATTATTTTTTTTTGAAGAAATTATTGTCCCCAGAAAAGCAATCCGCCAATCGACTAACAATTGGGTTTCTGCTGAATGCTCGGTAAACAGAAGCATGTAGAGTAAGGAAACTTGCTCAACATTTCGTTCCTGCAGGGAATCCAAGACAGGTCTTGTGTGTTTGAGCTGCTTCTAAAGTATAACTTCCTTTCAGTGAGAGAGGAGAGAGGGAAGAGTTGTGACTATTGATTTGCATTGATATTACCAGGTTACATTGAGTCCATTTTGATCTCACCCTTTAGGTAACCAAAGCTAAAATCACTTGGCTTGCCTGAAACATATTCTGTCATTTGTCAAAAATGAAGTCTGCTTAGAAATCTGCTTCTGTGTGAGGAGGTGTCAGAGAACCAAACGGTCACCATGTTGCAGCAGATATTGGAGACAATGTACATTGAGCCTGAACTACTGGCTGAGCTGAATGAGGAGCAAAAGCAGATGTTGTACTTCAAGATGAGAGAGGAGCAAGTTCGGAGATGGAAGGAAAATGAAACAAAGTTACAGCAGGAAGATGCCAAGCAACCGAAGAGAACGGGCCAAAAAAGTAAACCGATTCCTTATTTTACTCTTACCTACTTAACTTTATTTTTTTCACTTTAGCAATGTATTGAGAGAATGTTTGAATGAGTGGGAATTCAACAACAACAACTTGCACTTATATAGCGCCCTCCATATAGGGTAGTGTCTCAGAGCGCTTGACAGTGGCAGAGCCTGACTCCGAGCCGGGGGCAGGGGGTAGGTGGCCGTAAACATGGCTGAACAGGAAAGTTTTCAGGCGGGACTTGAAAGAGGGGAGAGAGGGGGCAAGTTGGAGGGATTAAGGGAGAGTTTTGGGGCATAGTGCCTGAAAGCACAACCTCCAATGGTGGGATGGAGGGTGTGAGGGACAAGCAGGAGGCTGGCGCCAGGTGGTAGATTGGGGAGTGAGGAGGTCGGAGAGGTAGAGAGGTGCCAGAGAGTGAAAGGATTTGAACGCAAATGTGAGGATCTTGAAGTCGATCCGTTTGGTGATGTGGAGCCTGACCAGAACTGGTGAGATGTGGGTTTGGAGTTTGGTCCATGTCAGGATGCAAGCAGCAGAGTTTTGAATCAGCTGGATCTTGTGAATGGTGGAGTTGGGGAGATCGGCGAAGAGTGCGTTGAAGTGCATTCATAATGGTAATAACAGTGCTCCTCCCGCTCAGCTTGTTTGTAATAAGTAGAGGTATTTATTTCATCTTCAATTCACCTAACCTCCAGCGTTCAAAGTTCTCTTCTCTTTTACTCTTGCCCCCATCACTTCCCGCACTGTCTCCTACTCCCGCTCCTCCCCCTGGTACACCACCCACCTCCGCTCACTGAAATGCCAGGTGCGGGCTGCTGAGCGCACCTTTGTCAAATCCGGCTTAACGGTCCACCGACAAATCTGGCTGGACCTCCTCAAAATTTACCGCTCCACTCTAGCCTCGGCCAAGTCGTCCTTCTACTCCAGGATAATCCTGGAGGCGAAGAACAACCCCAGGCTACTGTTTTCCACCACATCCCGACTCCTCCGTCCCCCCCGCCAACCCGCGCAGGTCATCTCCTCCAACCTTCACTGCGAGGAGATGCTGGATTTCCTTGAATCCAAGATCAAGGGAATCCGCTCCGCGGTCACTTCCCCTCCAACTTCCACCCACCACCCACCCCTTCCCTCCCACACTCCGACTCCTACCCATCCTCCCCTACACACCTTCGTACCCGTTTCCCCACCCTCTGTCACTGAACTCATCCTATCCCTAAAACCAACCACCTGCTCCCTTGACCCCATCCCCACTCCACTCCTTATCTCCCAGCTCCATTTTCTTGCCCCACACATCACTGACATCATAAACCTGTCCCTCTCCTCTGGCTCTGTCCCCATTCCATTAAAAACTGCCATCATCACGCCCACCCTGAAAAAACCCTCCCTTGATGCGTCGCAGCTATCAAGCTACCGGCCCATCTCCAACCTCCCCTTTCTCTCCAAGGTCTTGGAAAGAGTTGTCGCCTCCCAACTGCGCTCTTTCCTCTCCACCCATTCTCTTTTTGAACCCCTTCAGTCAGGTTTCCGTGCTGCTCATAGCACAGAAACTGCCCTGGTCAAGGTCACCAATGATATCCTGACTATCTGTGACCAGGGCTCCCTCTGTCTCCTCGTCCTCCTCGACCTATCGGCAGCATTCGATACGGTCGACCACGCTATCCTACTCCACCGCTTGTCCTCCCACCTCAACCTTCAAGGCACTGTCCTTGAATGGTTTAGCTCTTACCTTTCCACCGTCTTCACTTCGTCTCAACGAATGGCTTCTCCTCCACCCCCCGTACTGTCTCATGTGGTGTCCCTCAGGGCTCTGTCCTCGGTCCCCTCCTCTTCACCCTCTATATGCTCCCCCTCGGTGACATCATCCGCAAACATGGGGTTAACTTCCACATGTATGCGGATGACACCCAACTCTACCTTTCCTCCTCTACTCTCAACTCCACGACCACCGATGTCCTGACAGCCTGCCTGTCCGACATCGAGTCCTGGACGAGAGACAACTTTCTTCAGCTCAACGTGCGAAAAACCGAGGCCCTCCTGATTGGCTCACGTCAGCGCCTCCGCACCTCAGGCGCTGACACCATCAGCATCCAAGGCTGCACTCTCCACCTCTCAAAGCCAGTCAGGAACCTCGGCGTTTTGTTCGACCCTGAGCTGTCCTTTCTCCCTCACATCCGCACCACAACTGGCACCGCCTTCCATCACCTCCGGAATATCGCCAGACTACGGCACTACCTCACCCCTCACGCTGCTGAAACCCTGGTTCACGCCTTTGTCACCTCAAGGCTGGACTATGGGAACTCTCTCCTCGCCGGCCTTCCCGCCACCTCCCTCCACAAGCTGCAGGTCATTCAGAACTCTGCAGCTCGTGTACTGTCCCGCACCAGGCTTCGGGACCACATCACTCCACCCTCGCTCGCCTCCACTGGCTCCCCATCCCCCAGAGGATTGATTTCAAGATCCTCATCCTCACCTACAAGGCCATTCACGGCCTGCTCCCTCCTACCTCTCCAACCTACTATCCCCCTACCTGCCCGTACCCTCCGTTCTCTGGCTCCGGTCTGCTCCACGTCCCCCGCCCAACCGCCCTACTATCGGTGGTCGGGCCTTCAGCCTCTCAGCCCCGAGGCTCTGGAACTCCATCCCCCAGTGCCTTCGCCTTGCTTCCTCCCTTTCCTCCTTCAAGGCCGGTCTCAAAACCTTTCTCTTTGACCGTGCCTTCAGCTCCCCTCTCGACTCTCTTCCTCCTCCTCGCTCCCTCCCTTCCCTCCCCTCACCCTGACCATTTCCCCCTCCTCTCTCCCTCCCTTCCCTCCCCTCACCCTGACCATTTCCCCCTGCTCGGGTCATGACCCAACTGTGCAGCGCCTTGGGACGTCCTCCTGACGTGAAAGGCGCTCTATAAATGGAATCTTGTTGTTGTTGTTGTTCTCTAAACTCTCATTCACTCTTTTCCCGTTTTCTCCTCACTTATTGATACGGAACCTCGGCATCCTGTTCGACCTACAACTGTCCATCATCTCCCACATCTGTGCCATGACCCGCTCTGCCATTCCCCGCCTCCGCAACATTTCCCTGCTCTGCCATTGTCTCTCACCACAGGCCGCTGAGATCCTCATCCATGTGTTCATCATATCCAGGCTTGACTACACAAACTGTCTGCTTGTCGGCCTCCTCAACTCCTCCTTCCACATCATCCAGAACTCTGCAGACCGTGGCCTCTCCCGCATTATCACCCCCATCATCGCCAGATTCCAGTGGCTCCCCATCACCAGAGGATACAGTTCAAGATCCTGGTCCTCACCTTCAAAGCCCTCCATGGCCTTGCTCCTCCCTACTTCTGAGACCTCCAAACCCCCTACCATCCTGTCCACCCCTCCGCTCAATGGGCTCCAGCCTTCTTTACGTCCCCCACGTTGCCCGCCCCACCATTGTCGGGTGGGCCTTCTGCCTCTCTGCCCCCACGCTCTGAACTCCATGCCACAGACCCTCCACCTCGCCCCCTCCCTTGCTTCCTTCAAGACCAGTCTCAAAACCCTCTTCTTCGACTGTGCCTTTGATCACCCCCCTACCTCTACCCTCCCCACCCTCCTCCCCTCCTGATCCCAACCACCAGCTTGGGTGTGGATCCTTGACTGTCCAGTGTCTTGGGACGTCTTCCTGACGTGAAAGGCGCAATACAAATGTAATTTGTTGTTGTTTCTTTTCCTCTCCTAGCTCTTTCTTAATGTCATGGACGTTCTTTGTGCAGCGCCATCCTATTTGCATATAACGTAGCTCAATTGGGCTTTGAACTTCTATTGAACTGATAGAAAATACAGTTACTTCTCTCCCCAAAATCTGGTAGTTGATGCAGAACAGGATGCAAACACGCTTTTGGTTTTGAGAGCAGCTAACTGAACAAAATACTATAGCTCTGTGCGTCTCCTACAAGTCCTATTTCAGGAGTTGTGTTTTTCAAACTGCAGTTTGAATTTTTAGTTCAAAACTGTATTTGAGAAGAAAAACATATTTTTTTCAAACTGTGGTTTTGTACTGAGAACAGTATTTGCTTCATTTAGACAGATATTATGAACAAAAGGAACAAGCAATGCGCTAAAAACAGAAGCAGCAGAAGTCTTTTGAGTTTGCAAAATGTTTCCACTGACCTTATGCTTGGTCACCTGAGTAAGACATAAAACTCTGCATCTACTTAGACTTGACGTGCTCAGCAGGAGTGGTGCTGATTCTGGTTAAAGAAAATCTTAATGCTAGACTGCCCCAGACAGCTTGAACAGCTTTCAGGTGCTGCTGTTGAGCACTGTATGATAGGTGCCTCTACTCTGCCACGTGGCATATTCCCCAAGTCAAAGTGCTTTAAGGGTTTACCTTGCAATCATATTGTAGTTGGAAAATCGCACACCTTTCTCACTGTTCTCCCACAGACCGAAACTTGATGAAGTACTTTTAAAACCTTTCCGATGTCTGAAAACCTTACCCTGTGAAACCATGGTGTTGAACGTTGAAAGGTGGAACATTCTTTGATTTGGTCTTGGTTTGGAAGCTGCTTTTCCACAGTTGGTACAAAGATGGCTTCGTAATTTATGATTTTTCCACGATTCTGTGTGGATCTTAAATAATAATTCATGAATAATGTTAATTATTATAATAATAATAATTTGGTGAGTCAATCCACGAGTGATTGTGGGACACTGCTGTGCGCAATTGGCTGCTGCGTTTCGCCCACAAATATACAGTCACTACATTCACAGTATATTCTGTGAAACGCTTTGAGATGCTGCAAAGTCATGCTAACACGCTATATCAAATGCAAGGATTATTATTATAAATTATATTATCTGTATATCTGTAGACAAGTGTAGCAGCCAATTTGTGGGGCTTCAACCCACAACCTTCTGACTCAGAGCAGAGTGCTACCAACTGACCTAGGTTGACACGCTAATATGTCTCTAGATTCGCATTCCTCCTCTTGTTGTTATTTACACGATAGTATGAGCAGTGGC